AGTGTGCCCGGAGCGTACGAAGAAACAAGAGGAAGCTAATTTAGCTGAAATTGATGTTCTGGATCCATCTTTGTTCATGATGAGATGTGATCAAGAAAATGTCTTTCTAAATGAAGAAGGGGTGATTCCGAAGCGTTTCGAGGTTGAACCGAAGGAGAAAGATATTTGGTATCTCGACAACGGAGCATCGAATCACATGACCGGTAATCAAGCTTACTTCTTTGAACTTAATGAACGTGTCACGGGAAAGGTGAAGTTTGGAGATGGATCTTGTATTGACATACGAGGAAAGGGATCTGTATTACTTGAAGGGAAAACAGGGGAGCAGCGCCTGTTGACCGATGTGTACTACATACCCAGCCTACAAAGCAACATCATAAGCCTTGGTCAAACAACGGAAGGTGGATGCAACATTCACATGAAGTGCAATTTGCTAACCATTCATGATGACACGGGGAAGCTTATGATGAAGGTGACGAGGACCAAGAATCGTTTGTACAAGATCAATCTCAAGATAGCAAGTCCCAGTACACAAGTTAGCATGATTGGAATGAAGAATTTTGTGGGTAGGGATCTACAAAGAGTTGATCAACTGAAAGAAGGTACGTGAAGTACGAGTCAGAATCTTCTCGGAGATCCATGTTTAATGGAGAAACCCAAAATTCAAAGTCCAAAGAAGAATGTTCAAGAGTTTAAAGGAGATGTCAAGAAAAGGATTCTAACCCAAGGAAGGACGTGTAATGATCGCAAGGAGCAAGTGTTTGTTCAAGCTAAGTGGAGCCCGAAGAACACTGCAAGGGATCATGAAGAGCCTCGGGAGAATCAAGATAAAGAAGACATGCTTGGAGTTGAAGATCACCCGCAATCCAACTCGAAAATTAGGGGGGTGATTGTTGACTAATTATCGAGTAGGATTAGGATTACCCGAGATATTCTAGTTCAAGTAGGAATAGAATTATGGATCCTAGATTACTTGTTGGCCAAGTTGGGTTAACACTATATATCATAGCCAAGCCTTGGGTTTTGATGTGGGAGCCATATGTGAAACATATGAGAGTTTATTGTAATTGGTTTTGAGTTATTTTCCAGTTATAATAAAGAGATTGTTTCCAACAATCTCTAACAACAATGGTAGCCGGTGACGGAGAATGATCAATTGTTGAGAGAGATATCAAATCCCCCATATTGATATCTCCCAAACTCGGAAGATATCGAAACCCTTAATTAATTTCTTTACCCTATTTCATATTCTTTCCAATTCTCATATCACAAGCTAACACACAAATCAAAGAGCACCAACAAAAAAAACTCTTATCAAATTAAAGACATTTTGATTTCTTGCTTTTTCCCCCTTTAATGACAAAAGCACTTTAATTAATAAGTTTGATTTAGGGCAAATCTTTTGTCAGCAATATGATTCATCAGTTCATTGTGTTCCTTGGTCGTGTAAATGAATGCAGTGACTCAAAAGGTGGAGATGGTGGTTGAGTTTTTACTTTGGCAGGGGACAAACTAAAGGGATAAGGCGTGTGTGTGTTTATATATATATGGACAGCTGAAAATTAAATTACTCCAGTTATATCATGCATAGGTTTGTGCATCGTATTTATGATCTATGTTACACGGATTCTTCAAATATATGCCGTTTCCTGTTCTCGAAACATTCCCAGATACTTGGGAGCGTCCTCAGACCCAAATCCTTTATAAATTTTGAAAAGATTGGCGTTTCATGCTTCCAACCCTATTCCCATATAAGTCGTCCTTGTCCCCGTCTCGGTGCAACTTAGTTTATGATAATGATATACTCCGTATCTATTAGTGCAGTATCCGTCAAATTACCATTTGAGCTATCCCAAAAGTGTACCCCAAATGTACATCATCTCTTCCATTACCATTCATTTTGGCATGTAAAACAAAAAAGAAATAAATAAAAATGAGTGGTAATGGAGGAGATGGTGTGTATTTGGCATACAATTTTAGTTTACCACTACCATCTCCCGTCAAATTAATCTCAAGTTCTTAATGTGCCTTTACTACTACCTGTTGAGAGTAGTCTTTCCTCTCCTTCATCCACTTTACTTATCACTTCTCCTTCCATTAAATCTTCCTCTCCTTCTTCCATTCGATCTGTCAAACAGTCGTATACCTTAAAGATAAATAATGCATATCTAATAAATATTAAAACAATAAAGCAATATTTAGATTTAAAAAAAAGAAAAAAAACGAGGTAATGTGTTACTCTGTAATTCGTTTGTAACATGTCAAATTTCATTTAGTTGATTGAAACGAGAAAAAATAGAAGAAAAAATTAATTTTAATATATTAAAGTATAATTAATAAATATATCTTAATTTTTATTGACAACAAATTTCAAATTTTTTTAGGTGTTTCTTCTCAAAAATTATTTTTTTAGATATTAGCGTTCATATTAAATTTTAGATAAAACATAACAAACATTTATTTATTTATTTTTTGAACTTTTTTATAAGTATATAAAACAAGTTGTTACTATATTAATTCAATATTTCCAAAGATTTGTGAGAGAGAAGATTCTAGAGAATTCTAGAAGTTTGTGAAGATGTGTAGAATTCTTTAGAATGTTATGGAATTTTCTAGAGAAATGTAGAAGTCTTTAGAAATATGTAGAATAGTGTAAAAGTTTCTATAATATTCTAGAGCTTTCTAGAGAAGTGTGAAAGTATATAGAAGTGTGTTGAAAAATGTAGAGCGGCCTCTAGAATATTCTGGAATTGTGTGGGGTTCTCTAGACTCTTCTAGAACGTAACCTTATGAAAGCTTGTGGAGACTCCCTAGAAGATTCTAGATACGTAGAGATGTGTGAAATATTCTAGAGAACCCAAGCCTTGATGATGCATATAAATAGGGGTGTGAATGCCTCATTTGGCAATGAAGATGGAAGAAGAGTCGGAAGAACAAATGAGGATCCTATAGAGTGCTTGTGAGTGAGTTGTAGAAAAGCATTTCTACAAGTAGAGAGTAAGGGGATGGTTTGCAGAGATCCTCGACTGGAGCACGTTTGTGTCACTAGTAACGGTCTGTTTTGTAGATTTCAGTGGAGTGCAGAATGCTGAAACGAGCCATTGAGGATCCAATTCAGAAGGAAGACCTCAAAGAGTTCGTCTGAAGGGACAATTCTTGGAAACACAATGATTGCGTCGCCACACCAAGATGCCATGTTAGTAATAACCGTTACCAATGACACCATTGTCGATCAGTGTTTCGTGGACAATGAAAGCTTGGTAAACATCATGTATCTCAGGTCTTCAAGGATTTCAAACTGGATAGGAAAGACCTAAAAAATTGTGCATTTCTCTTGTAATTGTAATACAAAGAGTGAAGTGTACTACTCGTGTAATTGTAACCTCTCTTATACATTTCTCAATATATTTAATAAGGATGTCTTACAACAACTTATACAATAAGGCAATATAAAAAGATTAAAATGGAACTATTTAAAAAAGAAATATCGCACAACTAACAAAGGAAGAATGCTAGGTTTGAGCCAATTACTAATATAGGACTGCCTACTCGAGACTACTCACTATATATGTAATACCCTGTATCAAGATGGGAAGAACTCAAAAGGATTGATAGTACTACTCATACCAACAAGGTGCATCTTTTTTTCGAGAGCTCATCACCTAAAAACTTTAAGGTTAAGCGTGCTTGACCTGGAGCAATTCATGGATGGGTGACCCTTTGGGAAGTTTTCCTTGGGCACTCACGAGTGAGGACAAAGTGTGTGGAAAAGACTTGTGTTGGTTTGTGGGGCTAGTCTACAATCCTATGAGCGGACACTTACGGCCATGGTGGGGGCCGGGGTGTAACAATATATTTTTGGCCAAACATTAAATATCAAGACATTAATTATATATATGTTTATTACTTTTTAAATATATTTATATAACCATATTATAAGAGTTTATAAATCTGGACAAAAACGGAATGGAAGGGTACACTTATATTATCCCAATGTTGTCTCATTTAGAATTGGAACGAAATAGATTCCAAACAAAAAAATAAATTTTAAATAAAACAATACAATTCCATAACAGTTCTGAAATGTTTCAGAATGATAACCAATTGAAAAATGCTAGGGGTACACCCAAGGTGTACCCCATATATCCCCCACCCCCTCCTTGTCCACTAAAAAAAGCAAAAAAATTTAAAAAAACTAAGTAAATAAAAATCAAATAAAAATGTGTGGTGGAGAAAGGGGTGGTGTACATTTGGGGTACACCTTTTGGTGTACTCCTAACATTGCTCTAACCAATTTTATGCCCAGCCTTGGAAGATCTATACATTTAGGAAAAGTCTATGTGTACACCGGTTATGTACACCGGATGTACACCATATAAAGGACCACCCTTATACCCCTCCATCCCCCAACTCCCCTCTCTTTCTCTCTCTTCCTTTCTTTTTTCCCTATTAACCCACAACGTAACCGTACCTTCAATCAGAACTTCGCCAACCTTCACTCATTCCAATTTCGATCTGAACTTTGCGCCATGGACGGAGCTTCGACGCCCAATTTTCCGATCATACCTTTGCTCCGTGGCCTGACCTTCGCCGCCCAAATTCCAATCAGAGCTTCACCACGTATAAATAGAGAAAAATTTCAAGTTATTGTCACTATCAATGACCCCAATATATGAATTCTTAATTTTTCTTGTTTGATTATGAACCATAACTTCGTAATTTCCATTTTTTGTTGTAATTGTTTTAAATGTATGTGAAGTGCTAGTTACATACGTAAAATGTCTTTTTTAGATGTGAACTGCTACCCTGTTCAAAAAATTGGTCTAAATGTATGTGAGGTGGTAGTCACAAGCGTGAAATCTCTATTTAACAACTGAAGTGTTGCCCTAATATAAAAATAGCTCCAAAAGCATGTGAAGTGTTAGATACAAGCGTAAAATGTCTGTGAGTGCCTAAACACATACACTAAGTCTCTATTACCAGAGACATTAATTCTCTGTCAATTCCTAATTACAGCTACATAGTGTCTGTGAATGTTCAATTAACGATGTTTTGGACAAGAATTAACGATGTTAACTGCATGTAGAAGTGAATTCTACGTATTGTCAACGAGTTGCTTTGGTTGTTTCTATTTTCTTCTTTGACAATATCCCCCTTACTCTAAAAAGAAACAAATGGAATAAGAAATGTTTGGTCATAAAAACACTGAGTGTGTATTCCTTTAGACACAAATATATTACCCTTGTGTTGGGATATACACTAAACTTCGTTGGGATATGGGGGTCAAGATGTAAGCAATTTTACCCTTGTGAAGAAAACATGTTTTTGCTAGACCCGTGATGCATTGCATGCTGTAATGTAGTGATTGTGTTAATTATTTACCTCATTAATTGAATCTAAAACATTGTCAAATATGAATCTTTAACTACATTGGCAATGGCCGTGAAAGAGTTTTATTGTATCAGTTTGGTGTGACTTTGATGCACACGACACATTTATACTCTATCTTATTCGAGTAATTGCTACGAATATTGTGCCGCCTGTTTTTTCTCCAGCTTTTTTATTAGTTTGGTGTATTCCTTTAGACACAAAAATATTGTCATTAAGTAGTGTTAAGAAGACTAATATTGCTCTTATAATATGTGAAATATGACAAACTTTGAAACCAACGTCACAGACATTTCATGTCGTAAAGGGAATGTCAAAGGCATACCGTGTCTGTGAAAGTGGATGCGAGATATATGTTAATTCTAACCAATACAAATGCAAAATACGTAGTATGTGATTACCAATACAAAGGTCTTAATCTGACATAAACACTAGAAATAAAAATTTTTATAAGTAGACGTTCGATTAGGTTACTTGCTAAGTAATAGACAATATGTGTTTATTTTTAATGATAAATACACACATAAATAGTATGACATAAAACTAATTTTTTAATAAAATTACTAACCTTCACTATTTACTTCTAGTGAAGGTTTAATGACTACACGAGTTAATGCAAAACCACTTATACACAAAAAAATGGGAACCATAAGCTTCGAACTTATGGAAAGCCTAAACACAAGTTCAGATTTAGAATGGTAAGTTCAAAAATTCCATCCTCATCTAGGACTTCCCATGCGTGAGTTGGAACTCGAACACGCTTGGAAGGCTTGTTTGACCTTTGACTTGGAACTTCTTTTTCTCTAGTGCCAACTCCAAAATGATTGGTAAAATATGTTCATCTCTAATAACATCCACATGTTAGTAAATCTGTCAAACATTAAAACATTCGTCACAACACTCAAACTCTTCAATTCCAATTAGCACATACATTCTCTGTCTGTGTTATAGTACTGGAAATAGCATATTGTCTGTGAAAATATACACACATATAAACATCACTTAGGGTGGTGAAGTATCCAAAAAAACTCAACCAGTAACATTAAATGACTATGTCCCAAAAATTTTGCATTTTTTGAAAGATTCACAAACAGTCCAGGCTTGTTTGACAAAATCCTATACATCATAGTGTCTCTGTTAGTTAAAAAACTGAACATTAAGGCAATCAACAACTGAAACAAGGGTTTAATGTAACTTACTTGCAAAAGTAGGGGAGAATGGGGGTTCTTCATACATTATCACGCACAAACTCCTTCGATTAAGGTTTCGAGATTGACGATGAAGACGGATATTTAAGCCATGGTCACGGAGAGCCTCCTCGGTGCATTTTCTAGGCTAGCGAGAGAGAAAGGAGGGCCGGCGGAGAGTGGCCGTCGAGAAACGTGGATCGACGGTGAGCAAATATGAGAGAAAAAATCAGAATTCTTAAATTAATACATGTTTATGGAAATAATCATAAACAACCGTAATTGCAATTAATACCTTTGTATCTATAGAATTCTTTCATTATTACTAAAAAAAGAATTCTTTCAGGATTGTTTCAATAATTATAGTAAAAGAATTAAAATTTGTGAATTTTATACCCCAAATCATGGCGAGTCATTGATGGACAATGACAGCAGTGGGCAACAATGGTGGCGGCGGGTGGGAAGACACAAATTAAAGCAGCAGCGGCGGCAGGTGGGAAGACACAGAGCAGCAGTGGCGGCGGGTGGGAAGACATATGGCAGCGGCAAGTTATGGTGCTGAGAATTAGCGATGTCCGATGAACCAGATCTGCAAAAAATTAAAAAGAAAAAAGAAAACCGAAGGAGAGAGATGGAGGGATAAGAACGGGAAATTGGATGAGAAGAGAAAAAACAGGGGAGGGGGGTGGGGGTAGGGGAGAGGTGAGGGGGGTATATGGTGTGCATATGGATATGGGGTACACAACTTGTGTACCCCTAGCGGGTGATACATTTAATACTCTTTCACTAGGCCAACTACAACCTCACCCCTTAACAGCTGCATTAGCCGCGCTTGCTTTCTTCTCCCCACTACGCCCAATCTTAAACGTTACGGGGCCCATCTATCCTCCGCCTATATATGGACCTCCCACCCACCTTTCCTAAAACCTCTCCAATTGGGTGAAAAACTCTAAGCCAGCCATTACTAACTGAAGAAGAAGAAGAAGATTAAAGATTTTTCAGAGAAGGGGAAGAAGAAGAAAAAAAAGAAGCTCAATATTGCAGATCTATACTATCCACAGCTCAATCTACCGGAAATGAGATTGTTCTCCCTTGTTGCTCTGTTCCTCGCGTCCAGCGATCTGTTTTTATCAGGTAAAGATCGATTATTGCTAACAATTCCTCTGAATTTCAGTAGATTTGGGTGTTCAATTAGGTTTAGGGTTTTCTGAAATGTGTGATTGATTGGTTTATAGGAGCGTATTCATCGGCGACCTTCACGTTCACGAACAAGTGCGACCAGACGATTTGGCCGGGAATTTTGTCGAACGCCGGAGTTGCGCCGCTGGGAACCACCGGATTCGCGTTGCAGAAGGGAGAATCGAGGACGATCCAAGCTCCGTCGAGCTGGGGAGGCCGATTCTGGGGCCGAACATACTGCGCGGAAGATTCCGCCGGGAAATTCGCCTGCGTCACCGGCGATTGCGGTTCCGGGACGCTGGAATGCACCGGCGGGAACGCCGCTCCCCCGGCTACGCTGGCGGAGTTCACGCTGAACGGAGACGGAGGGATGGACTTCTTTGACGTCAGCCTCGTGGACGGGTACAACCTCCCGATGCTGGTGGTGCCGCAAGGCGGATCCGGTGTGAACTGCTCCGCCACGGGCTGCCGGGTGGACGTGAACGGGCTCTGCCCGTCGGCGCTGAAGGTGACGAGCGCGGAGGGGGATGCGGTCGTTGCGTGTAAGAGCGCGTGCGAGGCTTTCGGCGACCCGGAGTACTGCTGCAGCGGCGCGTTCGGCACACCGGATGTCTGCAAGCCGTCGAGTTACTCGGAGATGTTCAAAGGCGCGTGCCCCACCGCCTACAGCTACGCCTACGACGATAAGACCAGCACCTTCACGTGCTCCGGCGCCGACTATGCGATCACCTTCTGCCCATCCCCAACCACCAGGTATTAAATATTCCTTCTCTAGAATTTCATACTTTTATTTCCAAAATAAAAGCTGGAATGCAAATATAATGCTAATTATGTTAGTATATAATACCAAAATATATTGTTAACTCTCTATATACAATATCACATTATAGTAATAGTAAATTTTTAAAATGATTCTTTCTAATAAGATGCTTTTCTAAATCAGTCATTAATAAGCAATTATTACTAAAATGGTCTTTTGTAAATAGTAATCAATTATGTAAGTAGAAAATAATACTCTCTCGTCTCATATCTTTCTTCTCGTTGCATAAAACGAAAAATAATATCTAATTTTTTTCAATATATTTTGTTTAGATATTGGTATAGAGATGAAAAATAAAATTTATATATTTTAAAACTATATTCAAAAGTTCAACAAAATAAGTAGTGACAAAAATATTTTATTTTATGAAATAGACCATAAAAAAACACAAGTCAATACAAATTCCCGTGAAACCGAAAAAATGCTCCAAGAAGAAAAATATGAGACTGAGGGAGTAAATTTTATTTCAAGATAATCATAATAAAAGTGTAAATTGTACTCCCTCTGTCCCCCTGTATTTGTCTACTTTCATTTTTACACACCATCCAATGCACTT